ACAGCATTCAGTGCTGTGTGCTCTATCAAAGCCATGTCTTTCTTGACATTGGCATTACTATTACTGTGGACGTAGCTATGAAAGTAAGAGCAATTCAGAGTAAATGTATTTTCTCCCTAGTCTAGTTTAAAAAAAAATCCAGGTAATAGGTGTGGTATTTTTAGAAAAGAACTTTTATTTCATTTCCTAATTTCAAATATGGATTAAAAATACATGACTATCATTGTTTGTGACAGTAACTTAAACTGGCCTTCAGAAACACTGTATTTCAATTACACTCTATTGGTTCACCATCATATTGATATGAGGATAGAACTGACTGGTAAAAAGAGTAAACTTCGTTACAGGTAGTGAGGGCTTTGAACAGTAGTGTTTCCTCGAAGACACCACACAAATTACAGTGTGTTTAAACAAATCTAACTCCTGACCAGACAAGATTTCATGTACTCTCTCGTCCTTTACTGCAGAGGGGGAGCCACTGACCTTCCTTGTGGGACAGGACTATGAAAGTGTCATGTGTATATGGAATAGCAACTGAGGTTCACACAGAAGAACTCTACCACACTGAAGTCACAAATCAAGCCTTTCCATACATGAAAAGCATTATGGTAGTATATGAACGCATGGAATACCTTCTTTGGTCATATTCTAGTACCCACCTAATTAGTTTCTTAAACAATTGGAACTGCTACTTGAAGGACAGACTGAAAAACAGTGGAAATTACACTGAAAGTATATTATTCAAGGATTTTTGGCAATACAGAACAAAGTAGGTTTTGCTGATTAATTTACCCGTTCCTTCTTCCCATCCCTTCCCCCCTCCCCTTCCTTTTCCTCATTTAACCCAGGGTGGTCTTGGTTCTCTATGTGAGACAAAAGACACCTTTACCCCTTGAGCCCCTGATTTTACCTCCTCAGTGCTGGGGTTATAGCCATGGACCACTGTGCTGGAGCTTAAATCTAGGGCTTTGTGAAATTCTAGGCTAGATAAGTATTCTAGGAAATGAGCCACACCTCCATCCTTCTTTTATTATTTTTATTTTTTATTTCTTTTAAATAAATGGCAGCCCAGGTTGGCCTAGAATAAAGTTACACTATGTATAGGCTGTCCTTAAAGTCATGGCGATTCTCCTCCTTCAGTCTCCCGAGTGCCAGGATTCCAGGTGTGAGTTCCTACAGCAGGCTACATTTCTTGTTCGACTGTGTTTCTGCAATGTTAAGCCCAGGCCTTTGGTGTGCTAGGAAGTGTTTAACCACCAAGCTCCAGCCTCAGTTTGTCTGGCTTTGCAATTCAATATGCACAATGTTCTGCATTATGGAAGTCGGTTTAGTGGAGAATTTTGTTTTCCTTTGAATCCAATGTCAGTTACTAACTTCAGTGACTTCCAGTTCCAAACTTCTGGAGTTTGCTCTAGGACACTGGACTGCACTCAAAGCAGCTCTCCTTTGTTGCATGAAGTCAGGGTGTTAAGCTTTGTCGTGCAAGAAGCATGCTGCAGCAGCAAGGAACATCTCTTCTGATTTGCTTTTGTTTTTCTGTGGTTCAAGGTGCTGCATGTGTGTGGGCTGGGTAATACACGATGGTGCACTACCCAAACTTGAGTCCAGAGGGCAGATCTTTCAAGATGTCACCTGCCTGGCTGGGGCTTCATCACAACCAGAGGTGGCCACTCTCTACTCCAGACCTGTGCTCAAAGTAGCGCCTGGGCCCCCCATGCATCCACCCCGCTTGGTGCTTAGAACTGAGTTTGAGCTCTGGTTTCAGCAACGCAGAGAACATCTGTCATTCGGTGGACTGAAACCGCTGTCTCCAACAAGGTGTGATCCCTCACCATAGGGACAGAGCCTCAAGCTGCCCTACATCTCAGTCTCAAGATACTTACTATGTTATTTATTATTGTATATATCTATAATATTCCTGGGTGCATGATTTGAGACAGGGTCTTCCATTGTAGATTAGGCCAGGCTAGCTGGCCAGCATGCCTCAGAAATTTGCCTTTCTCCACAGTACTGTGTTACCATTTTGTACCTGTACTATATACTTTTCTCCATGGTGCTGGGGGCTGAACTTGAGCTTTCTTTTTTGTGCGAATTACTTACTGAGCTCATTCTTTGTTATCCTTTAGACTTGTCAGTGTATTTGCAACATTATTTTGCTATCTTGTATCTGTTTAATAATTCATTAAATCAAATTCCTCAACTTCTATTACATTACTGTGTGGTTCCTGTTCTGATTGGATCCAGACTAATGTAACCTAGAGAGGCAAACACACATTGCCTCTGGCTTTAGTTTGTACTATTATAATCTATGTTGGTTTTGTTAAAAGGCATCAAAGTTTGTGAGATCAGGAATCAGCAGGCTATGACAGATGTGCATGGGTTAGAATCCTTTCTCAAGAACAAAGTGCCTCTCTCAACCTGCCTGCTGGTTAAATTCATTAAAAAAAAAAAATCAAAACACTTATTAATGGTACCCAAACAAAACAAAACCCTTTCTGTAATAGCATGGCGATTTAACAGAGCGGAATGAGTGACAAGCGTCAAGTGTGGAAACACAATTCAACGCAGCAAAGTTCACAGTTACAAAGCTCCATATTTTCGGGTCTCTGCCTCATCCAGGATGGACACCGATAGCACTCCCAAGCAAACAAGGACAAAGCGTCCTGAGGCACGATCGATGCCAAAACCAATGAGCTATGATGTCACTGGAGTGCCATCCACTTTCCCACCGACCCAGAGACACCTTAGGTTATCAGTGATACGCTAGTGTCAAAGGCACACGGGGCCCTGTAAGGTACCAGAGCTGATTTCGATGCCAGAAACAGAGACTTTTGAGTCAGTTACAAGGGTGCCAGATGTGTGGGGACAAGCAAAGACAAAAGGGTGGGGGAGGGCGAAGAGAAGAAAAAACCAAGTTGTATTTGAATCAGGGGAAAATATGAGTTTAGAACATGAACTTGAAAAACTAACTTGGAATCTAATTAGAACACTTTGGACACAGAGACAGAAACTGTCTTTTGAAACAGGAAAGCCTAAGAGACGGTGTCAGTCATATGTGGGCCTGGCACAGAAGTTGTTTTAACTGACAAAGTGAAGAATTAGCCCCTCTGTGAATTGTAAATCACTTTATTTTTCTCCCTGAGGTCAGTGATCAGTGGTTTTCTGACATGGAAATGTTTTATTCTTCTACACTAAACATCGGCTCCCAGCTTTATTGTGTGTAATTACCTGTAGTCACAGACAGGAAAAAAAAATTGCTTTCTTGGCAAGCTGTAATTTAGGACGTCTCCCCCCAGTATTCAGCCACTAGTGCCAACCATTAGACACACCTCATTCTCCTCCTACTACACACTCAAGGGTAGGAGCCACACCTTTCTTATTAAGCACTGTGCAATCCTGCCACCTATACAGACAACCTGCATGTAAATTATGGAACCAAGAATTCAGGAATTCAATGACATACCACAGACCAAGCACTAAGTTCTCTTCATAAAATGACAGATACTTGCCACATTAAAAATAACACAATATGCATGAGTTTGGCATTGCATAGCATGGCATCCCAGGATTCAGGAGACTGAGGGCAGAGAAGGAGGAGTTCAAGTTTCAAGTCAGCCTGGGCTACACCGTGAGATCTGGTCAGGAAACACAACACAATGTATAACTATAACCCTTCCATATTCACAGGCCACTCTGGAGCTCGGCACTTACTGAGTTAAGCCCTCTCAATAATACAGCACATGCCCCCGCAGCCTGCTATTCTGTTAGGTAACCATGTGTCCGGTTCCTTTCCTCTGTTAAATTTTAAGTACTGCACAGGAACCATTTTCCCTGTGAGGCTCCCACACTTGGGATGAAACCTTCTCTGCGGAATTTTGGCACCCTATTAATTAGTGGTTATGAGTGGGAGCTGCTCTCTCTCAGCAACTCCTATTCTGCCATCAGTCAAGTGTGATTCTGTAATAAATTTCCACAGGGCAAACTATTTCTGGTAATTCTCCCTAATTAACACCAGGCCTGCTAATAATACATCAGTGCCTATGTGTTTCTGATATAACCAAGATCTTGTCTGAGAGTACTCAGAAAGGGAAACTGCCAACCTAAATTAAGCTTTTGCTGGCCAAAGGGTTTTTATATGTAGTTGAGTTAGAAAACCTTTGATAATCTTATATTGGGGACATGTGAGTCGAAAACCCTGACTGGCAGAGAGCTTGCTCTGGTTTCAGCACTCAAGGGGGGGGGGGGTTTATTGTGAACACACAGTTGAGACGTAAACCTATAAATCTTGTACTGGATTACTGTTTCTTAACGAAGGAATGACAGATCTCTTTTTCTGTTGGTGCATTTTAATGTGCAATGACGTGATTGACAGAAACCAAACAGCAGCTATTAAAATGTCAGATGCAGACTCGATGCCCTTAAAAGTTTGGCTTCTGGAGTTTAATATACTGTGGGCAAAATAGACTAGAGTTTCTCTACCATTCCCAAAGTACAGCCCGAAACACAGACAGCCCTCTTAATTTATAGTTAGAAAAAAAAAAATCTCCCTCTAGCTGATAAACAAAGGAGTAAGAGTCGAGTGAGCCTACCTAGTAATGGCCAGTCAGTTAATGAGACTGAACTGTACATATCCTGGCTCTCATGCCAAGTGTAAAGAGCAAGGAATCTGTTCTCTGCTTAGGATATGTGACATAACAAGGCACAATAGTAGGTCATTCTGATGAATAATTTCAGCAATGAACATATTTAAAGACAGCCTATCTACTAACTTATAAACATGTCTTACATACATTATATACGCAAAGCACAAAGTAAATAACAGAGTAAATGTAGTATTTTCAAATGTCCTGTTTCTGGGGCACTGGGGTTGGCCAATACCATGACAGAGGCTCTTCAGGGATTAACACTTCTCTGGTCCTGTGAGGATGGAACGTGACTTCTCCCCATGTTCACTTAAGTGAAACTACATACCACCCAGAGAGAAAAAGCAGGCGTGTGTTGACATCATAGAATTTGTTTATTGAGTATGTGTTCATTAGGTATCACTATACAGATTGTATTTCTCGTGTGAATTTTTTTAATTAGAAAACATATCCAAAAGCAAAAGAGCAGCTACACACAAACTTAAAAATGCAAAGAAACAAAAGACAATAATCGACAGGCATGGCAAATTACACAATAAGTGTCTACATCCAATAACTTAGACATGTGGAGGAGAGGGACAGGCTGAAATATGTATCTTCTGTTTTCCTGCTCCAAAGGAGAAGACTGAACTGCAAATGCCAAAAAAAATGCTAATGAAACTATTCACACTGTAGCAATTACTTTTCTGTGGAAGCCCTTCTAGCCCAGGGCTCCTGGAAAGGAGCATATTTTGTTGTAGATGGTTTTAAACACAGTTTTTTATCAATATTCAAAAGAGAAAGGATTACTTTTGTTTTAATACTGTTGCCAAATAATTAGGCTTTAGCTTTACATGGTGAAGGTAACCCTATCAATGGGAAACACAAAGTCACTAAGCAAAGATTGCTACCTCAACAGGCAACAGTCATCCAGAACATTTAAGAGAAACAGTATCTATTTGGGCCCACCAAAGTCTCAAAACTGAGAACTCTAATAAGGCACATTAAGAATCATGTACCATTGTTTACATATGGGGCCTAACAAGTACAGCCTTCAAAATATACATCTAGCATGACAAGAACTCAATGTTCTATAGTAATAATGAAAGAAAAATAATGCTACGGACACAGAAGACTGATAATAAAAACTCAGGGAGCTTGCCAGAAGGGTAAAGTGCTGTGCCAGGTATTGAAAGCTCCATGCTTCCATGCTGGTAACGAGGCAAGTTGAGCCTCACTGTGGACAGACTCTTCTGGTTACGGTGAGAATTCGTCTCCCAGGAGCCACTGTGTTAGGAACAGATACAAAACTTGCCGGACAATATGATAGGCAAAGAAAAAAGACACAATGCCAAGTTAGCAAGCCACACTAGCCTTTTAGGAATTAAATGTGGAGAAATATAGCATTATAAAAATGCAGCATTACATTCCACAAACAACAGAGAAATAAGGGGTTAATAAAAATGAGAACCTTAAAGGAAGATAACTTCATTAGAAATCCAAGTCAAAGAAAATTTTTTGAATATGCAAATGCCAATAAGCTGTCAAATATTATCATGGCATATCACCTAAAAGACAAACCAAAACTTGCACATCAAAAAAAAAAAAAAAAAAAAAAATCACCAACTTATTTTGTAATATAACGCCAAAGCTGGACGTTCAGATCAGAAGGAATGCACCTAAGCCATCGAGCCTGCTATTGGTCACTGAAGCAGCAATGAGATCTAATGCACAAAGTTCCAGCCCTGACTTCTGAAGACACTTCCTGCCTCCCTACAGGCACAGGTAAGGAGGTAGTCTGGGCTGCTACTGGAGAAGCTTCCGGTTCGTGATGTGTGTCACCCTTCCTGCTCATTTATCCCTCAGTTCGAGATTATCTGCATATAACATAAATTTACTAGAGCATAAATTAGCAGCTTTCAGGACATATAACTTTGAAAGTTCTTAGGGAGGTTAAACAAATACTGTTGCCTAAGAATTCCTGTGTGACAAACACACATACACAAATGGACGCACAGGTGCTCTGAAAAGATGGGGCACTCAACCTGTCTGATATTGGAAGGACCGTACTCCCAACAGATTTAGCTATCACTCAGAAGGACCACTGAGCTTTCATTCATTGTGGAAACACACAGAAAAGTATTAAACGCCATGATTTGTTTTCTCCCTGGGCAGTGGGCCACACTGCATGGCTTTCTCACACTCACTTTCCTGACGACAAGTGGTACCTAGCAATGCTCTGCCCAACCATGGAGAACAAATGGCAGGACAATGTGAGTAATGGATGCCAGAGAAGAAAGGTTGCCTAACTCCAGGATCACACAATTGGAGGGGATTTACTTCTTACTGATAGATAAGAATCCCATACAAAAACCAGCAAACAAACAAAACCCCAGAACAACTCCAAATAAGCAAAGAATACAGTAACAACAAAAACTTGGATCTTTTCATAACCCTCAATCCAAAAAAAAAAAAAAAAAAAGAAAAAAGAAAAAAAAAATCACTGGGCGAGGAGTTTTGGAATCTTCAGTCAGTGACACAACTGTAAAAACTAAGCAGTTCATTATCTGAAAGGGGGAAGTGGTTCTTTTGACTTTCCAGGTACAATTGCTTTCTTTTCCCAATTTCTAGCGCCTTCATCTTCTACCTACTCTCTGAGGGGTGGGGATGAGGTGGGGGGGGTTGGGGGGGGCCCTAACGCTATTGAATTATCTTCAGCTCGGCATAAGATGAGAAGCAGGGCAGCCTGGCCCAGGTGGTGAGCCACACACTACACAAACAAACTGCCCCATCTGAAGGAAGGTCAGCATTTTTGACCTTTAAGCAACATGGCAGCCTCTGGAAGAACCAGAGATCACAGTATCTCTTAGGGCATGCCACACTTGGGTCAAAAATTGCCTTGGACCGTCTTACTGAAAAGACCAATGATAAGACCAAAGAGAAAGATACCACCTACTCATAAAATTTATTTAAACTCCCATTTACTATTTTAAAGATAAAATGGGCTTATTAAACAGTTATTCTTATTAGTAAAATGTAAGGCACTTCTTATTGCCTTCTGTGGAGTCTCACAGCTACCTGACAAGGAAAGAATCACTTCAGCATAAGAGGCTAGAGTTTTTAATTCTAAAATGTAGTCCTTTGCTAATTTATTCTAAGATGAATTTAGTAGTCAGGAAATTGACTCTTATAAAGGCTACTTCATGGGCAGAAAACACAGGCTAGTCATAATAAATCCCAAACCGTCTGTGACTTTCTGAAGCCAAACATTCTCTCACAGACTTGGTTAATGTTAGAGTTTATCCATTCAGGGCTACTATTATTTTAGAACTCCATATAAATATTACAACTAAAAATTAAATGGTAATTTTAGTTTCCCCCCTTTTCTTCAAATTTCTCCCGTTTCCTGGAACTGTTGACTTTTCAGAAATTCACAGAGTGAGCATGCTTTTTGCAAAGCGGCTTGTCTTTCTTGGAGAAAAAGGTCTGCCCTTCCAAACTTTCGCAACACACCTGCAAAAGAGAGGCATTGCTTACAAGAGTGTCATCATTTAACTCAGATCCCCCAAAGGGGAATGACTGTCCCAAATGAATAAATAACACAAGCTCTTTAGTCTGTTGAGTGAGACCCCGGACACTTCACGATTCCTATGACATTTCATGTCTTCTTGGAAAAGCAAACAATGACTTTTTTTTTTTCCCCTGAAACATAGACTGATTTATTTAAATCACCGATGACGGCTTTTCTCTATCGAAAGGGCAGCACTTAGTCCTAACGAAAACTTGAATACATCAAATACAAATTCTAATCAATCTTTTAAAGGTTTCCTTTTTACAAAGAATTAAAGCATCAAAAAGAAACAGCTCAACTGCTTTGCCACGAATGACCAAGCCCAGTATCAGTCTGTCCTATTGTTCACCGGCCATTGATTATTATTTTTAATTTACATTTTATTGAGTGGATTAGTCTAAGTATGGTATGTGCATGTGAGGGCAGGTGTCTTGGGAGACCAAATGCACTGAGGGCCCTGGGAGCCAAATTCGGGTCCTCTGCAAGAGCAGCAAGTGTTCTTAATCACTGAGCCATCTCTCCAGCCCCAATAGGCTGGTTCTAATTTACTTCCTGGATAAAACCATTCATTCATGAAAGAACTGATTTAACTTGATTCTACAGTGAACATCTTGGCCAGCATTTGCCTGCTGAGTGGTTTTATGGTGAGGCCACCCACACTTTTGCCTTCATGTTGTTTCCGCTGCCTTGCCAATGACAATGTTCATGGGAAGATTTTCCTGAGAAAGTAGATAGGTAAAAGCTGCTTTTTATAAACTTCATGAAGTCTAAAAGATGAACTAAAAACAAGAAGTGCTCAAAGGTAATGTTTGCAGAAATCGCTTGATTTCACTGTGATATATATATTAGATATACAATGGGTATCAAAATCAAACAGCAGTAACAGAGATCAAGTAATGGAATGGAACATCTTTACTAAATACTGGCTTTCTAAATTATAAGCTTTATCTTAGGTTAATGTTAACCTTTGGCTTATCTTGAACATCAAAAGTAAAAATCAGAAGGTCAGGTACAATCATGCACACCTTTAGTACCAGAGCTCAGGAAGCACAGGCAGGTGGATCTCTATGAGTTCAAGGTCAGCCCCATTATCTACAATGCAAGTTCCAGATCAGCCAGAGCTCCACATTGAGACCAAGTCTCCACAAGGAGCTGTTGGGATAGCTCAGCCAATAAAGTACTTGAGTTTGATCCCCAGAAGCCATGTACAAATGCTGGGTGTCATGGGACATCCATACTTATAACCCCAAGGCTGAGGAGGTGAAGACAAGAGGGCTCCTGGAGCTCTCTGGCAGCTGATCTGGGCCAACTGGTGGGTTCCAGTCCCATGAGAAACTCTGTCTCAAAGAAGAGGACCAGTGTTCTGAAGGTGACACTTGAGGTTGTCCTTCAGTCCCCACAAACACATAAACACATACATATACATAGAAACACACACATAGACACCAGAAATAAGTAAAATCAAAACCAAGAGCATTAAAGTAGCAAGTGTAATAGGTAAACTTCTTTTGTATGTTTTCATAGTTACAAAAAGAAAAGAAAATCCACGAGCTATTTCTTAGGAAGAAAACAGCCAATTTTCTGTCTCTCTAGTTTTTTATAATTCATTTTTTAAGAAATATCCAATGTGTCAAAAATAAACTGGTTAATAAAGGAATTTAAGAAAAGAACTCATGTTTTAAAAAGGCAAAAAGCTCCTTAGAGAAAAGAATGCATTAAAAGTTATATTTTCTCTGGGGTAAGACCTTATTAGATGTCAAATAATGTCAAACCTAACTTTTAAGAACACTGAAAAACAGTGTTCGTTGGCTTTAAGGGAGGGAAAGACAGAAGTGCTGTTACGTCAATCAAACACTACAGTTTACTTACTGAGCACACAAAACAAGTATCATGCCAGGTGTAGCCCAGAGCTTCAAGGAACATGTCACCAGCTTCTATGGGGAATTCGCATCCACGGCATATTGTTCCAAAAAGCGCGTAATAATCTGCATCAGGTCAGGAGAGAGACATAATTTAAACACGGTGAGGCTTGGAATGTCAGGTCAGACACAGAGGTTAAGACTGAGGTGAAGTGGGGAAAACGGCATCCACTGGGGTGGGGAAGCTTGGCTGGGATCCCTCACTGGGCTGGATGGGAGACAAGACAATCTCCACAGAAGAACCACAGAGATCACTGTTGCGTGCAGTGTTCAGTACACTTGGGTGTGTCGAGGACCAGTAAGAGGACTCTGAATGATTTGCAGCAATGAGCCTAGTGAATAGAGACTGAGAACAAACTTGGCAAATCACATTGCTTAGCTTTCAAATACAGGTTTTAGGACACTTTCACAAATAAGGACCGTGACTGAGTCCCTAGCTGGATCATGCCAATAACATCGGCCTCAACTTCTTCTGTTACATTTTCCTTCTAATTTTAGGACCTCATACTGGAAGTCTTTAGTCAGACAACATGAGTATCTTGACAGCTCTAAAACACTAACAAATTCCCTTCTGACAAGAGTGGCCTTGTCCTTTCTCTATTATTAAAAAGGAACGCTGTCACAGTTTTCTTTTTCATTCAACTTCCTTACTGCTGTGTTGACCTATGAGCCAACTTCTGGCCTTTAATAATGCCAGTCCAGCCATAGTTGGAGGGGAGGGATTCTATAATATGCAGTTTCATGCAAATATTCTTTAGCACCTCGTGCTGAATACACCCCCACAGACGCTAGCAGGCAGTGCTCCAGGCACACAGAGGTGGAGAGGCAAAAAGGACAGGTGTGGATGCTCATATCATGAGGTTTTGATTAAGACTGTGATAAGTACAATGAAGCAAAAATAGCTCTAGGATATAGAATAATTATAGACTTATAGTATATTATACATATTATATTATTATATTATATTATAGAATAACTATACTATAAGAGGGTTAGGAAAACCTTCTCTGGTATAAAACAGTCATGATGAGACTTGAAGAACAAGGAGGAATCACACTGAGAACATTCTAGTCAGATGAAATTTTTAAATATGAAGGCCCTGGAGCCAGAAATAAAATCTTAGCCATGTTCAGAAGTAACAAAGGGATAAGGTATGGGTTAAATCTACTGCCAGCATGTAAAGAGGCAGGAGATAAATCTGGCAAGGCGGGTTCTGAAAGGAGGATGGCTCTTATTCTATTAGACAGCAGTTACAGAATACAAGCTCAATCTGACTGCCATGGTTGACATTGCACCAATTTCTCTGCAGCTGCTATTGGGAAATCCAGGCAAAGAGTAAGAGCAAGTTGGGCATAGTGGCAACACTGGAGATGGACAGGAATGCTTATCCAATATGCACTGGAGGTAGAATTGCTAGGAATCACCTGCTAAGATTCTGTTTCAGAAGAACAGAGAAAGAGAAATCCTAGGTGTTTGGACAGTGCAGCCATCTACTGAGATGGGAACATTGCTAAGAATTGACTGAAGGGTAAGGAAAAAGAATAACAATTAGATCATGATTCCCCTCCGCTAGCAATGGATTACGTTTATATTATGATTTCTTAAAACACATTATCAGGTTAGATAGACAGATGTTTATGTTTTTGCATAGTTAGTCAGAATGTCTTACAAAACTGCTAAAACTCACAAACCAGCCAAACATGAACCAAGTCTTCTCCAGAAAAAACAAGCCGAAGAACATGAGATACTCTGAAGACATTAGGAAGTTTACAGCCAACTTACATGGTTAAGAACACATAGGGCATTTTATTGGAGGTTCTGGGGCTTCCTGGTGAGCAATCTGGAACAGAGCCAAACCCTTCCTAACAAAGGGGTTAAAGGGAAGGTGGAAATCAAGAGTAAGGAATGAGCAAGGTAAGTGATGCTGAACCAGCTTCAGGCAAATGCTGATGGTCTCTTAACTTTTCCACTGTGCAAAACCCCTTCTTCTAGGGACCGCGCTTTGAATTTCAATCTAAAATAAGAGGAAAACTCAACAGTGGGAACTCAGTCAATAGAGGCAGAATGAAGTAAAGTGTGTTTCCTATTCTGAAATGGCCATTGTGGAAGCAGCATCTGAAAGGAGTAAACGGTGAGAACACAAATGTGGCAAAGGAAAAGGAAGCGCTCAGGTAACAAACAAAGGGAGTAGACAGGCTCTTGGAACTTAAAATATTACAAACATCTGTAAGTAGTACAGTTTTTCCTCCCGCCGCCTGGCCTTGTCCTGCCGCCGCGCCAGCCCCAAATAATGCACAGAGACTCTGTATTAGATACAATTCTGTTGGCCCGTTGCTTGCTTCTTATCGGCTAGCTCTGTCTTAAGTATTAACTCATTTCTATGTATTTCCATGTGGTCTTCTTACCAGGGAAGGGGGCCAGCGTCTTGTCTCCCTAGTCTCTCCCTCCTGGCTCCTCCTTACTCCTTCCTATATCCTTATTGTCTCCTAGTCCTGCCTATCTTGCTTTCCTATTGGCCAACAGTGCTTTATTCATTAACCAGTATGAGAAACATATACAAAATGACATCTCCCATCAAACATCTTTACCAGGGAGAAATCTAAGCCAGGATTGCTTTTCTATTCAATAATGGTAGCAAAGGATTTCAAATTTATTTCCAAGGCTGTGGCTTTAAAAAGCAAAGTAGTAACATTCGAATGTTGAACATTTCTCATGTTTATAACCACTTGGTATTCTTTACCACAATAGGAGGTTTGATGCTACATTTTCAGTAGAGTTTATATCTATAAATGACTGGAGATCTGAACATGTTTTCCTACTAAGTAATGCTAAGTTTCATGTCTTAATGTTCATAATGAAGATGGAGATGTTCATCCTGACAAATTCATGAAGAGTTATTATTATTTTTGTTTTGCTACATATTCATAATAATATGTGATACCTCTAAAATAATAAGGAAATCTTGTTGACCTAAACTTTTCTTTTAATTTTACAGAAACATGAGTGTTTTAGCTTCATTCTTAAATAAGGCACTAATGGCTTTTTATCTCACCAGTCTCGCAGTATGGCTCTCCATCTTCCAAGTGGAAAACATTGTTGCGGATGGGTTTTCCACAGGCCACACATACAAAACAGGACACGTGCCAGGTTTGTTTCAAAGCATTGATGACTTCCTGTTATAGAAAGGTGGATGGATTCAAAGATGAAAATAAACACACCAATACTTACTCTCATTGTTGAACCATACTAATTCAGTGTAGGCGCAGGTATTTTGTGTTTGTCTTGAAGTTTTCATCAAAGAAACAAGAGATGCTTACCTGAAAGCTATAGTAATATGTGTACTTTTCATAAATATAAATCCATAAACAAAGAATAATCACTATTACTAAATCTATACACACAGCACATAAGGGAAGTATTACAGAAAGGCTTGCTACAGCACATTCTGCTTTCTTTCAAAGGGCGTCAGGATGCATTAACCTAAAAAACTTTCATGGCATTATCTTGAAAATGTCATGAAGGAGGGGAAAGCATTTAAAAACTAAAACAAACCTAAACTCCAGTGCATTATGGAAGCAATAATGTAATCAGTATAATCCAATCAGCCCATTGAGTGTTTAGCTTTTTGGAATCAGCTGTGACTGTACTATGCACTGACTCCACAGTGTAGAGTGTGAACAGTAAAAGCAAGGATTCCAGTCCACTATGGCTCCCTGTTAAATGCCCCAAGATGCAAAACTTGGAAGAGATTTCATCAGTAAGAGCTTGAAGTTGTTAGTTTTTCAAGAAATTGTTTTAAGGATTCAATTAAGAAGAGGGAAAGCAATTAAAAATTAAGTTCTGAAGAATATTTAATAACACGGGAATTCTTTCTTTCACTTGCTAGAGTCTTAAAGTTTTTGCCATTCTTGACTTTCATTAATTATTCTCTAATCCACAGAATGTTTATTCTGTTACCTTGACGTATAGTTTACTAACTGATAATCTGTCATCACTTATGGACGGGAAAGCCATTATACTCCTTTATTGCCAATACAATGTACAAATTAATAGTTTAGAAATTGGTCATAGAAACTATTTTTAATGTTTCAGACCTACTTAAGTATGTTCTCCATAATTCATATTTTTCTAGAATTTCACTATTGTATTTTCAGATTGAGAATTAAGGTAGAATCAAGCAAAGCCATTCCAACTTGTACATGTTAAAGCCAAGAACACTGGTTTCTTCTAAAATCAAACTTCCCCCCCACTACTGGCCACCTACAGTAGACACCTGAATCTTCAGTGTCATTGAAAATTGGATGTTATAACATGATGGGCATGTATGCATTCTTTCTTTTGTCAAAAAAGTATAGATTGAAAAGCTTTTCCTATCACATGTACATGTCTGTAACTGAAGTCACAGTTTTAAACATTATATTATTTGAATAAAAATATTATGTTTCACATTTTACAAATTTTATATATGTCATGAGATCAGTGTCCTGTGCTTGAACTCTGACAAGTAGGGAAAGGCTGCTCTTATAAAAGCTATGGAATTTAATTTAAACCAGTGAAGGTGTCAGTCCTGAAAGCTTGTGTGTGTGGTCCTGGACGACCTCTTCATTCCTGAGCGAACAGAGTCCTGCTGGGGTAGCACACCCACAGTAAATTATTTTTCCCATAGTGGCTAGGCTTTCACCAGACATGCCAGCGCTCAGTAAAACAAAACCAAAGGCAGCTAACCCCATGAGTCTGATATGGGTCTGTTTAGTTTTGTTTTATAATACGTACAACTAATGAAAGCATAAAAGGCTGATAAAGCAAGAAGAAAATAAAAAGTAAAAATAATGGAAAGATTTATTACATAATCTCCATGGCTTTAGGATGCACTACACATAAAGAAGTCGTTTTAAACACTCACGCCAAGGATCTTCCTCTGGCACCGGCCACATTCAGGAGCAAAGAACTTCTCATAACATAGCTCGCAATACAGTGCTCCCTTCTCCTCAACAAACCCAATGTAGGCCATCGTGTTTTTGCAGTGAGCACAGTTAAATTCTTCTGGGTGCCAAGACTTCCCCAGAGCCACGAGGAAAGGCCCCCTGCCAAAGGAAAGAGACCAACTTGACTCAGAGGCGAAAGTGTGCGGTGTTGGCCTGGGGAGGCTGTCTTCTTACATTTGTGTAGGTAACTGCCTGCTTGATTTCCTTCTTCAGGACTGGGCATGGTGGTACTGTCAACCTGCACAGAGACTGTGTGTGAGGAGCAAGGGGAAGAGGGCTGACAGCATTTGCCAGATCCTTCTAGCGAAGCCCCTTGTCCTCTTTCCCATTTGCCTGGGATCCGGGGCACGTTTGAGCTGAGTTGCAGTGAGTCATTCTGGGTGCATCGCCATGACAGAGGGAGGATGCTAACTGTGGCAGAGAAGAGGCACCAGAACAACACACGTTTAAAGGCAGGAGAGGCAACGCTGGAAAAACAAATCTCAACTTGGCAAGGTTAGGTCCTTAAGGGTAATGATTTCCCGAGAAGCCCAGTCCTTTCTTCCCTGCATAGGACGGCATATGCTTCTTTCCCGAGTTTATTAAATGTTTCAAATTCAGCTTCTGAACTAACCACGGAAACTGAACTGTACACTATCAGTTGTTTGAAGCTAGTTGGAAGGCTTTTATTTCATTCAAATATGACTAACTTAAGTTTTATTGCATTAAGAGCATTAAACATGAGATCTACTCTCAAATGTATTTAAATATGCATGACAATGCTATCAAACATAGTCAGACCTTCTACAGCGATCTCCAGACACCACTCATCCTGCCTAACTGAAGTTTTATATGTAACATTTACCAATCCCTCCTTCCCCTTCTCTAAATATGACAGACTTGCGGGTGGGGGAGGGACAGGACCTTCCGTTGTAGCCTAAGCTGGCCTGAAACTGAATAGGCAGTCCTGGGTAGTTTCAAATGCATGATCCTCCCTGCCTCGGCCTACCAAGCACTCAGGATTATAGGTGTGAACTACACCATGCCCAGCTAAGACTGACTTTAACGTGTATTTTTATCAAGGTAGCAAGTGTTTGTATAGAGACTTCTGATGCCTGAATACTACAGTCATGAACCGCTAAGATGTGCTTGGTTCGCACAGGAACCCATTATGAAGCCTTATCTAGTTAGAAGCCTTGGGAGATGAAGCAGACTAGCCTCTGTAACACACTTTTCAGTAGCTACATCACACTAATTTTTACTCATGGAGTGGCTTTACCTCCAAGGCACTTTTACACTTATCTAATTTGTTCATACGGCATTCTTGTGAGATAGACCAGGCAATTATTATGAACCCAGTTGAACAGATGGAGTGGCACGGCCAAAGAGTATTCAAAAGCTAACATACAATTACTGACTGAGCCAAAGCTAGGGGCTGACGCATCTACTTCCTCATGCATTACTCTAGTCCACCGAGATGGCTTTCCATCTCACTGCTGGCAGCCCACATCACAGGACAACCACAGGCGACTGTTAGCAAGCACGCACGCAGCTCTGGACTTCTAGGCAGAGTAGTAACAGGGTATCATGGCAATGGCATCAGGCAGAGCAGCTTCTACACTGTGAAAACACAAATCTGCGTTCAACAGCTATCTCCTAGGGTATGGCTGCATGAGCCTGTAACTAAAGTTTGCGGCTGGGAACAAGGAGAACCTGAGAGCTCTATGGCTGGCTGGTGTCGCTGGGAAGGTGAGTTCTGGTTCAGGGAGAGAGACCCTGTCTTAAGGTAATAGAGCAGAGAATGTGTGTAGTGTCTTTCTCTGGCTTCTGCATATTCACACATGAGTACATGCATCTACACACTCATACTAAACACACACACACATACACAGAGGGGAGGAAGGGAGAAGGGGAGGGAGGGAGGGAGAGAGAGAGAGAGAGAGAAAGAGAGAGAAAGAGAGAGAGAGAGAGAGAGAGAGAGAGAGAGAGAAGACTATTTGGTCATTGCTCTCTACCACCAATAGTCTAGTATCAACATATCCAAATCCACACACTAATTTTCTTAGCAAAAACACTATTGTTAACTCGGACCCAACCTTCAATTCTGAAAGAGTCAGGCAGCAGAAAACACTGATGTAAATTAAACTATTTTTTTTCCTGTGAAGCAAAGAAAGTATTTCCTAGTTTCATTGTTTCTTAGCTTGTTTATTGAGAATTTGATGTGTTTTTGTACATGTGACTCTGCTTTGTTGAAGGTAAGTAGTTTACTATTATTAAAACTTCAAGGCGACCAGGAGGATGCTTTAGGTACTGGAGTTTTGCAATGACTAACAAGGAGGGCATCTGTTAATTATTTCAAAAAGAAAAGACATGGCTGTGTGAACCATGGTCATACATGACCCCAGTAAACCATCCCTGCTTTATAAATACTCTTGCTCCGCAAATTCTTTCATTTATTTTTCTCAGTATATTTGGCAAGAATTTTACCAAATGTCAATGAAGAAATTACATTCTCAAAGCTGAATATAATGTTCTAAGTACTATAAGCTTTCCCACCAGCTAGGTAACTGCACGTGTAGATCAAAGAAACTTCCAGGATAAACTTTATTGTGACTACAATGCAGGGTATATATGGTAGGACTTTGGTGTTTATGTCACATACTGAATGGATATATATGTGTAAAGACACACGCAAATGTTTTTACAATGCTAGGCTGTTTTCATTAGGAAACATCCTCACCTGGTCACAAGCTCAATGGCCTTGAGGCCAGTATCCTAATCGGTTACTCAGTTTTCAAAAGATGTCAGTTCAACCTCAGACTCTACATTCTCCTGAATGTAAATACGGGAGTAGATTTGGATTAGAAACAAAAGGTTTGCTCCTGAGACACAGCTACTAATCCCAAATAGCTGAGGAGGCTCCTCTGGGTGTGTGGGTGTGGGTGTGGGTGGGGGTTGGGGTGACAGTCATCTAATAACTGAGTAAGGAACATACAACCCATCTCCTAGATTTTCTTAAGTATGTGTTATGACTAATTCAGAACACAGGAGAATTGGGGTATGTGAGTCACAGCACTGAACCAGACCTGGTCCTCAGAGAATCATCCCTTTTATGAGCCGTGTTTGGAGGGACACATCAGCTGTATTAACGGTTGCTATAGGAGGCAGCCTCACGCTATTCATCCCTGTTCTTCTGAAAACTGATATGAGATCCTCGTGGAGCACAGGGTCAGGTTCACATGAGCTCCTTGAAAATTTTCCTACCTGACTTCTGTAACAAGCACAGTTTAGACTCCCTTGAGTCATCATTTTATTTATTTTTTATCACATTAAGCAGTAGATTACAAACAAACAAGCAAACAAACAAAAACAAAAACCCAAAATAAAACAAACAAACAAAAACCAAACCAACCAGACCAAACAAAACCAACAAACAAAAACCAAATGGGTAGCCTGATCATGGGTGTGTCGTTATGGTGAGTGCTGTCTGCCTCAACATTTACTTCACCCTGAATGGCTCCACCCATGGTTTTTATTCTTGTACCCTTTTTAAATCAGAAGACTAACATTTTCTTTATTTGCTTGTGCGTGAGTGCTCTCCCATGTTTAGGTGCAGCTAAACGTGGTATATGCACACGTATATGTATGCATGTGTGTATAGAAGCATAATGCTGACATCAGGGGTCTCTCCCCACTGTTACTGAGGTAGGTTCTCTTGCTGAATTATGAGTGTGCCAATCCCAGTTAGTCTAGCTAGTTAGTTTGCCGTAGAGATCCTGCCTTTTACATGGTTCTGGGGATCTGAACTCAGTAGTTAGCTTGCCCCAGGGCGGGTGATATTTTGTTTATGATCTAATAACACTTGCCTGAAGATCAGAATACAAAACTAGCCACAGCCACAGAGGCCAGGCAGTGGTAGCACACACCTTTAATCCCAGCAGCCACACCAGTTAGCCATAGAAGTTGGGCAGTGGTGGTGTGTGCCTTTAATCCCAGGACTAGAGAGAGAGGCATATAAGAAACAAAGCTCAGCATGCGGTTCCAGGTTTGGTGGAAAGCATTGCAGTCGCTCTGAGGACAGGACAGACCTCCTGCTTTGGTCTTAACTGTGGTAGTGGTAAGTACACTCTACTGGCTGGCTGCTTTGCTTTTCTAGTCTTCAGTCTGAACTATTATCTGTCCCTGGGTGTTTATTATTCATGCTACACTGGGGATCCGCACCTTCCCCTGGTTCTGGGATCTGAACTCAGGACTTGACGCTTTAGCATCAAGTGCTTTATCCACCGAGTCATCTCTTCCACACCACGTTGCATATGTTCTTTAAAAGGCCATTAAAAATACCTTTTTGACATAAAGCTTATCATCAACAATGAAAAATACAGTCTGGTCTTAATAGAACAACTCTAAAATGTTTCACTGTTTCTTTTTTTCAAACACGAGCAGTAAAGGAAATCCTAGACAGTAAAGAACGACCCTGTACCTTTAAAATATGAGAAAATGGTCTTGCTTCTGTCAGAGCTCCTTCCTCTATACCTGTACCAAGAGGGAAATTGCCCGCCAAACGGGATCCTCCTTGCTGCAGTGATAGAACACTTCCCCTTGTGCCCCTGGGGTGTGTGCAGATTAAACAGCAAGCCTCTTAGTAGAAGGAAGCACTTACTTCTGCGTGTCAGCAAACACTAATTTAACAAATTCATTAACAGCGGATTAACACTAAAGAAGTTCTTGCTCCAGATGGGATTGGGTTTCCACCTGTGAACTGGAATGACAAGCTTAGATAACTGCAAGGTGGAATTAAATATGCATCTCCCCTTATGGTACTCCACACCCTCAGCCCTTACTCAAGACATGTTGGCTGACAAAGGGCAGGGAGGGAAGAGTAAAGGCATCCTGATTGGCTGAGATGGGAGACCACTGCACACTCAAACTGGGCCTCCAAAAGAAGAAGTTGAGTTCAGACAAAAAGAAAAACTTACAAAAAGAAAGGGAAAAGAAACCGTTATCTTCAACGGGCACAAGCTAACAGATCTATCAGTGCTTACTGCTTGTTTCTCTTGTTATTTGATCCCTATAGCAGCCTCGGTAACAGAATTTTGCCAATTTTCCCAAAATCATGTAAA